TTGCTGTTGTTGAGAGATCGTTCAAATTCACTCGCAAAATTGACCCTCAACAAAAAAGATACAATTAAAGCCTGCAGCGGACTCATCCTAGAACTTTCAGGTCTTCCAGTGGACACCCCACTACTCAGCCATTGGGTTTGAATCCCTTGATTCACATTTTCCTATATCTGAAGAAACTGGATGTACACTGCTAAGGAGTGCAATACTAAAAAAAATACAACTACCCGATGTTCTCAGATCTTCAATTGTTATTTGACTGATTTAAATCCATCATTAGTACTACCCATACGATCATAAGTAATTAAAATCTTAGTCGAAAAACTTGAATCTTTAACTTTCCCATGCTTAGTTCAGTTACTTCAATGTTGCTTTGCTAAATTATTCTTCATAAACATCCTCAACCATGAAACAGGATTTTTCTTACGTTCGATGTGTACAATGCATCAAGACAGAAATGATTCTAATTGCAATTCAAGCTTTTCCCCTGACTTTTCAGCACGGTCGTACCAGTAGTCCTTAAAATAATTTTAAAACGTTCTATGTAGAGATAAACCTACCATGAAAGTGTGGTTCATATTCTTCGTCGATTTCTGGTGTTTTCTTCAAGAGTATTCGTGAATTGAACTGAAATTCAACGAAAACAAAAATAAAGAGCAGTTTTCAATCCTTGTTCTTACTCCATATTAATAAAACAGTAAAAAAAGGATTTGTTTACTGAGAGAAAATGTAGTATTTCTGTCGGTCACTAGTGTTTCTCTTATATGAGAATATTTTCGTACTAAAGTGTGAAAGCAGGCGCTTACAAATTTGTTATTTTGTGCAACGGGTGTAGTTTTAGTATGATTGTTTACATATCCTATTGTCATTCATTGGAACGAATTGGTCGGTCTATATTGGCATATGGGATCCAGTGCGGATGCCTCAACATTACCTGTGTTCTGATTATATTAATGATGGATCGTGGTTAGCAGTGGAATCCAGGATGCACGTTTTGTCGTGGAAACGACATCACTGGGAAGCAGGTACATCCAGCTCACCAGTGAGTCCTAAATACGACGAAATGCGCATCCTGGATTCCACTGCTAGCCACAATCTATCATTGATATAATTAGAGCACAGGTAATGTTGAGGCATCCGCACTGGATCCCATATGCCAACAGAGACTGATCATTTCGGTCCAATCAACGACAGTATGATATAAAAACAATTATACTGAAAAGAAAACTCAATTCACTTTGATGCATTCAGCTGTATGATTTCACATGCTACTAATTCTCAGCACTAAAATGCCTGTTAATCAACTTTTTTAATTAAGTATGCTTTAAGATTCTATTTATTTCAGATACATAACACTCAGTTGGTTGGAGGCTGTGAGAAGGAAGACGCACTTGACACACTTTCAGTGCTTATAAGCACTCATCGGCACGGGGTGTCGGCGACCTCAGTGGATTTGATGTCTCCACTGATATTCAAACCCGCACCGCCCAGTGTTGCAGTCAGCAGTTAGCAATATTACCATTGAGCAATTTGGACCGCGAAGGACATCCTATTCGTGGTTATGAGATTCCTGGCTTGATGGCTGCATTGTAGGATGATCTATGGTGTTTAGTCAGAATTCAGGACTAAACCACATGAAATGGATAGCTCTCCAAAGACCAACCAATGTAAGCATGACCATCATAACCGTTTAACAACTAATTTCCATCATGCACAGTATTTCTAAAACAAATTCAGTAAAGAGTTCGATTATGGTTAGACCTCATGTGCAATAATCTTGTGATAGGAAACCCATTAGTAACTCTACAGTGAGCGTACAGCATGGTACTGTTAGGTGAATATGCTGAAAAGATTCAGGGCATACTGGATACCTTGAGTGGCGGTTTAACAGTGTTGAAGATGCGTTTCTTATCACCCCCTGGTGCGAACTTCTGCCTCAGGACTAGCCTTCGCTGGTGTCTCATGAAAAAAAATAGGGAAATAATCTATTGAGTGAGTTGACTTCTTCTCTTAAGTGGAAAGTGGGATCAGCTCTATTGATTCAGGAAACAACAAAATCTTCGCCCATATACAAAAGACATAGTTGGCTTTTGCAAGATTGTGCTATTTATGGCGTTGCTGTGACATCTGACTGCTTATTAATGACAGTGTCCTACACAGCAATTTGCACTGTTCTGCTGTCTGGCTGAGAAGTATGTTCGTTAAAGATGGATGATATGAGAAGATTTCAGGTATTTGACGCCTATTATTTCGTAGTATAAGCCATGGGTCGTGGTGCTTACAAGTTAATAGCACATAAGTCAGGCGAATAGTTTCAGAGAAAAGGGAAGCCAGTCATTGAGTTTGCCAACCGTCGTCGACTCAGAGACATGTGCAACGTACACCTAGTCACCATCTACCTTATCACAAAACGTTAGAAGAATTAGTTTTAGGCAGGAAAGAGGAAATAAGCGACCAGAATGAAACGCACCATCATCCCGTTAAGTCCTTGATTGTTGGTCTGTGTAGTGTAGGATAATCAATTCAGTCTGGCTTGGTTTGAGACTGTAGATGATGTGGCTGAGAATCTATCTCAGTGTTGCAGATTTATCCACACATTATTTCCATCCTGATAGACATATCGAATTTTGGTATTTTCTCTTACCTCCTCATTTTTTCACAGCCTTTTACCACCTTTAACTTCTTTTTTGTTTCTATACCTCTCATCTCAATGCATTCCAGCTTGATGATGACAATCTATCTTTATCAAAAAGACTGTTTAGAATGTAGAGAGGTAGTGGGTGCAGCAGGGCTACAGACAATCACTTTTGGACCACCGATCAGATAGGTCATCTGTTAGATAAATTTCATAAATAATTTTCCGGCAGTTTGTTTCGCATATTTCCCCCAATTTGACTACAGCATACAAGAATAGAATAAGGTAGGACTGCTTAGATAAAACGCCGAAATTATTTATTCAAAAGTTGCATACCAAATCAGTTGTGACAGACAAACAAAAGAAATTACATTTAATTAACTAAAGTCCCATGCAGAGTTATTGACATCATAAATCCAATACGGCAACGAAACTACAGCTTTGATAATGTTGTGTTCTCCGAGATGTAGAGTTTAACCATGAAGCTTTCATTGTGATTCAAGACGATATCACTGGCAAAAACTCCAAGAAGAAGAAATGAGGTATGGGGTTTTCTTCACAAGTGGCCTGATAGCTTGTCCTGGTAGCATTGTGTGACTGGTTTTTCGGCCAAAGTCTTGAAGTTTTCTTCAAATTTGTTTCCATCCTTTTCCTTCTGATGTAAACTTTGACATTCTTGTTCACGTCAGGAGAATAACCAATTGAAATAAACAAAGAGACAATGAAAAGACTTTGGTTGAAACAACCAGTCACACACACGGTTATCAGTACAAGATACTAAGCCACTTGCTGAGAAAACCCCATAATTCACTGCTGTCTGAAGTTTTACTGATGATGTCATTGAGAATGACAGTGAAAGCTTCACGATTAAGCAATACGGCTGAGAGAACACAACACCATCAGGATCATCTTCCTGAGCTACAAATATTCGCCTTCCTCGCAAAATAACAATCTTCAGGTTTTATTTATTCGGTTCATTAGATAGCAGAGATCATGTTTACTTAGTTACTCAGCGGTTTCATCAGTATCTCCCTGAAAGTAGTTCTAAAATGTAACGGCAAAAGTGTACTTTTAGCGAAAAGTATTAATCGCTTTACTGTAATCTTTTACAGGAGTCAAGCACAGGTAAGAGGAACGGCGTAGTAACTAAGACAGGCATCTTAGCGATTTCCTAAAAGCTTCTGAGGTTCAATTCACTACATTCCTTATTATCCGGTAGCTAATTTGTATGAAAATGGTCCTTCAGAAATCCATAGAAGTTTGTAAATGACTGAATCATCAACAGAATACTTCATTATTAGAAATGATTCCCATCGTTAAACTGAATTTTATCACTGAAAATTCCGAAAGACTACTTCAAAAATATCCATGTGATCACACCTGACTATAAAATGCACCTTATTATAGTAAGCATACAAACACAAACGGCTTATTATCCAATAGTGACAACAAATTCTTGCTATATTCAATATGGTTTAAATTTATAGGGAGGTTGTAACAATGTAAACAAGGAATTTAGACTAGTCGGACGATCTTAGCGACCTTGATGTGATATGATCCAGTTCACTTCAACACACTGAATAAAGACAAGCATATTCCGTTCAAAAAAGGTATTGATTATTGAAGATATTTTACAGTAAACGTGCAGAAGTTCAGTTTAGTTTTCATCCAATCTCTTTAATTGTAGCGTATTTAACAAATAAGTATCGTTAATGTGCAACAGGTTTCTGGTGCATGCTTACTAATAGACGGTGATAGAGAGTTTAATCTAACAATAAACATCTGAGAAATAATAAAATGTCTGAATAAGCTTCTTAATTAACAGAAAAAATAAGTTCTTCATTCAAACGAGGTCCCTTACAAGGATAGAATTAAAATGCCTTAACTAGGATTCTGTTACGCTAATTACTTCCTTTATGAACGGGAAATGGCAACTGAAAGATCTGTAATTGTAGTTTGTGTGCATAAAAGGAGGTGAAATTAGATTACACAATTCAACTGAAATTAGTTTGTTCAGAAAAGACAACGCTAATACATCAACTGAAGATATTTTCAGGTTTGCACCGATACTAACAGTCCTTAGCCTGCAAGATTGAAAAAACCCTGTCGTATTTCTTCAGTACTGCATATTTTGACACATGCATCTTCCTCTTAGCTGCTGAGAATGGTTCCTCTTTTTTCTTCTCTTTAGCGTTATGCTTACAGTGAAAGATAGTGAATATGAGAAAGGTTTACTGCTTTAACAGCAGGGTTGAGCTGTGTTCACTTCAACCTTTTAACAAAACTATAGTAAAGCTTTGTTGATGAGTACCAGCATATATATATATATATATATATATATATATATATATAAATTATTAAGTAAAAAGCGAAGATAAGCGAATACGAGGACATCTACCTGCACAAAACGACTAGAAGTTCTATGCTAGTACATTTGGTAGGCACAGGATGCCACACAGATGCTTCCACAGCTTTTGCTGCGAAACGCCGCCTTCCGAAGACATCACCACCAGATACTTTTTTAAGCATTCTCCATCTCCCCAAAACTTTGGCTACAAGATCAACTTAGCCTGAACTTTGTATTCAAAAAGAACGCATTGAAGCCTTTCCCCTTACCTAGCTTTCCATCAAATAAATAACATTCAATTTGGAGGTTTGTATAAATTACTTGAATTCAGGTACTTGGTTTGACCTTTTGGAGGGGTTATGGGTGTGCACTGTTAACGATTTCCATACTGGAAAGATATAGCTATCCAGTGCCGAAAAGTTTTCTTCAAATTATGTCAGTCCATAATGAACGATACTTTAAAATAAGTAATATAATTTCATCTTTACGTTTCGCTTTATTTAGAATCTTCGTTCTCTTCCTCCTTAAAGCATTTTCGATGAACCGTGCTTTGCTTTTTCCTTGTTTCCCACTAAATCTTCAGACCTATTTGAAATTTTTTGCACATCTCGTCAATTATTCACATTACTACTACTCTTATCATCATACTATCTCTTCCGTTTCATATATGGACCACTTCATGATATAATATCCACTTCAGTTTGACTTTTCTGGTGAATTTATGTCGATCAGTGTACTAATCCCTCACTCTACACAATGCAGGCTTTAATTTTTTGATGAATAATCATCAGTTATTCGACAATTATAACTCACACTTAGCTAATCATTGCAATCGACTCACATATATACATCATACTGCATCCAATATCTTAAGTCGATGCATAAATCTCAGCGGGTTTCAAATAAATAACTCCATCATTTCTTACGAAAGCCTGATCTTGGGTTTTCTGAAGAAGATTGAAAAAGGGCTTCCATTCAAAACATTGGGATTATGTATTTCAAACTGACTGAAATTTATACAATTAGGAAATACATCGAATGAGAACATTTAACTTAGTAGCCAATATTTGGGCAACCATCCGTTAAAATTTTGACCACGATTCATACAAATTAATTTTTAAAATCAATTTGATTATAACTTGATATTCCTTTCAAAATACATTTGCCACAAATTTAGCTGTTATTGTACTAACAAATTTAATCGTAAAACTGTTCAACCTAACGTGAGGCTTTGAAAAATCTTTGTTCATATGCGATTTTGAAATTCGGAAGTTGGAATCTACAAATATTTCAATTAATAATTGGTCATTTCTACGAGTTTCAAATGTTTTCAACAAGTCATGATAATTGTAGTCCAGACTGACACGAATACACTGAAATACGACTGAAAAGAATTCATTATTCCAACTTATTTTCATTATAGTAATTTAAAGTTGATTTGAGTGAAATCTTACTTTCTAGAGAACGACAGCCAAGTTGGTCAGTGTGGTCAGTAGCTTGATAGATCAGCATCCTGTATGCAAATCGTGTTCATAACATTTTCCAGGCTACGTGACCTGTTGAGATAGACTTCATTGTGGATTTTTTCGAAACACCAGTAAAGTATATCAAAAGTTTTCAATAGATGCCGATATTGCTCACTGGGATTTTCCTACACTAATAAAGTTTTTAGGTTACTGTATATTTTTACTTTCTGTCTTCAATAATAACTCGAAGCAAACAAGTGGATAACTTATTAGTCCGACACAGCGATAGCCAGTGTCCAACTTTTCAGACTGATTAGCTAGAAAATATTGATTTGTCTTGCTTCAGCTTGATAGCATCACTGTCAACATCCGCTGGTTTCATTTGCTATTTACATTGGTAAAGTTTTGCATGCGTCTTCCTGTTAGTTCAAAATTCACTATGATCTCAAGCGTTTTACTCGGTAAACGATTCATTCGTCTCATCTAACACAACCCCTCTATGTGATAAATATAAATATCTTGTAATTTTCAGCGACAAGAGATACATATTGCTTCAGCAAAATTTTTCGAGTAACTATTACTTGTAACGACTGTATAAACTATTACTTATCGAGCGTTTAAAAAGTGATGGTTTCAAGTTTTTCAAAAAAGTTGGATATAACTCTCTTCATAAACTAACTAATACTTGTATATGCAGTTGCTCTGCTGCATCAAATTTCTTGACCTCTGCCGGCATACAGACTTTTGTACGGATTCCTGCACAATGTCGAAAGATTCATTATGTTACACCCTGGTGATGGTAGCTAGCACGGTAATCCAAAAAGCATGTTTCACCCTATTTGGGTTTCACCAGCATTTATACTCATCAGAGTTGTAGGCTAAGCTGTTAATCGTCTACACCACTATTTCTAAATAGCGTCAATGAAGCTACAAAAGTATATCAGTATGGTCGTGAGAGTATATTTTACTACAATTCCAATGTGACTGGAAAATGAAAACGACTTTGCAAAACTCATAAGTGTTTAAACGGCAGCTCTGTCGGCAGAATATTTGGCTTTTAGTAAAAAATAAGTATAAATAATAAATAAATAATAAAAGTAGATAATTATAAATAAATGCACAAAATAATTTGCATGCCTGTGTGTTTAAGTCCCTGGTTAGGTGAAATGCAAAGCCATTTAGATCAATGAAATATGTAAACTCCTAAAATTCAAAGTGAACGAACTTGGGATATGTATAAAACATAGACTGAAAAATGAAGATGAACTTGAAAATTAAGAAAGGCTATCCGTAGTGGGTATGGATGAAATTGAAAGTGGTCATGCGACCAATCTTTATAATGTCGACGTTGGAAAAAGACTTTTGTTTGCCCTCGATATTTTGATACCAGCACTAACAGAAAAGAACGAAACCATTTTAGATAACCAGTTCTAACTGATAAATAAATAATGACTATTAATTATTGTCTATCACTAGACATTTTTCCATGTCAGTCTACGACGAATAACAACTTGAAATTTTTTCATATTTACAAACAGATACAACAAACGACATACCTGTTTATTCAACAATATACAGACACCAGTTGATTGCTCAACTTTTATCGTTGATCAAAAAATAAAAGTTAATGGTGACTGATCAAAACTGTTAATTAGGCTAACTAAGATAGCTGGGGATTTATGGGCTGCTGTTATTGATAACTATCTCTGGTTGAAGGTAAGATGATAACTTGGAGCGTAGGAGAATTCCGGCTAGCAGCCTCCAGGTTACGGGCCCGGTGATCTACCTAGTGGATTGTCTGGCGGCCTGCTTGGACTCTGGGCTAACATTTTCTATCACCGCGTATATTGCATCAAATTTCTTATTTCTATATTGTTTTAATCATTTCATTATGTCAAGCAATCGTATTGTATATTATCGTGTGTTTTTAAAATCATTACAACCTATCGCTTCGCACGTTGATAGGAAATTTAAGAAGAAGTACCACAGTGGATAGCAACGAGCTCTGAAGCGTATGACCATAGATCAAATGACTATTCTGGAAATACTTAGCACAAACTGCAGGTAGTTGCCGAATAAAGTTGATTACCTTCAGTCACTCTTGTCCAAAAATGTTTATCGAAACACGGGTGTAATAATGCTACAGGAAACATGGCTTCATAATCTGTATCATGATGACTTAGTCTGCTTAGGTGGTTTCAAATTATTTCGAAAAGATCGAAGCTTTTTGAAGAATAAATGTGGTGGTGGTGTAGCAACATTTATTAGTACTAACTGGTCGTCCTCCAACTATGTATGCTTCTGCTTCTCTAACGAAAAAATTGAGTGCATTACCATCAAATGTCGCCCCAAACATTTGAGCAAATACAAATACATATATATATCACAAACATGTATGTCACACCTGACTGCACTTTCTCAGATTTATCAACTTTTGCTGATAAATTCACCGAATTTGCTGCTCCGGTTCTGGGAAACTCCTCGTCTATTGTCTGTGGTGATTTTAACTCATGTGACTACAGTTTTCTATTATCATTGGGTCATAAAAATATGGTTAACTTTTCCACTCGTCTTGACAACACCTTAGACTTTGCATTTACAAATGAACCTGGCATTTATGAAGCCCTCAAACGGGCTACACTGCTTAATTCCGACCACTGTATCGTTCATATTTCGCCTAAAGTGTACGGAAAATTATACAAGAAAGCTCTTGCATACCTTTCAAGGAAAGTTCAATACAGATGCTATTCACAAGAAAATATATTACATTTGAGAAGCATGCTTATAGAAACGGACTGGGATATATTCGCTGATGAAGTTTTAGACAACACTATTACCAATATCACAAGCTATCTCAGATTCTGTCTCGATATCTGTTGCCCTACTGAAACAATCTACATGAGATTTGACAGACTTTCCTCTCCTCATCTCAAGAGGCTTCAGAGAGAAAAGGAAAGGTTGTATAAGGCAAGAGATCACTCTGGCATTAAAAGGCTTAACTGCCTAATTAAGTCTGATATACAACGTATGAATACTATATACAACAAGAAGTTCTTATCATGTAAGAGCTCTTCCAATATATGGAAATTATTTAAAGAGCTTACTGGTGAAATACAGATGACATCACAAACTCGTTCGGATGTCTGCGCGTTAAACAAGTCATTTATACGTCGGCAAGCTAATTTCACCCTTCCTAATGTGCAAAATCAAGTGGATAGCTGCTTTCCAGGTTTCAATACAAATGATGTATTTAAATGCCTAAAGTCTTTGAATCCCTCCCAAAGCTTAGGTCCTGATGGTGTTTCTAGTATCATATTTAGAAAATGTGCAGATATTTTGTATCATCCGCTTACAGATACCTTTGGTGTGCCTCAAGGTGCTGTACTTTCTCCTTTTCTGTTTTCCTTTTTTTCCCACGATTTGCCTTATTCTGTCGAACCTAATTTCATCAAGTATGCTGACAACCTGACGATTTCTATTCCACTAAACTCTTCTTTGGATTGCTCGAAATTAAATGAATTCTTGTCTGAAGTTAGTCTCAAATTAAACCCCTCTAAATGTCAGACCGTTGATTTCGGCCTCAGGCGTAAAGAAGACTTATGTGAGCTGCTTAAATCTCGTGACACCTGCTGCGTCAATGGTATTTCTGCAGAAAGTAAATCGGGTGTGAACTATCTTGGGTTGCGTTCTACTCCTGACTTTTGTTGGTCGTTCCATATTTTATTAACTTGTAAAAAAATCTTTCGTTTAACTTATTACGTAAAGAAATTGGGGCTTTCTGGTATAACTCAAGTGCTTCTTTTGCAATTAATAATTCCTGCATTTCACCGATTCTTCTATGTTGTTCCCCATTAATCTTTTCTGGTCTTCTTAAAAACGACTATGTTATGTTGCGTAGGGCTTTGAAGACCTTCAGCAGGGTGAGTGGTGTGTCTCTGGCTCAACTGATTAACACTGTAGTTGATCGACATATAAATTCCTGCAAGCTACTAGCCACAGAAATTTTAACTGACAGCTCTCTCCATGTGTCTCCTCAGGGAGGACAGGGAGAAACTACATAAGACTGTATGCTCGTACAGCTAAGTATAAGAATTCGACTGTACCTTACCTTGCACGTATATTTTGTGAGGAAAAAAGTGTTAGAACAGAAATCACACATCAACTTTGTGACGGTTAAAAATCTCATTTCAATAATTTAACTTAAAATGCAAAATTTTTTCGTTTTTAATATTCTTCACATAACTTAAACAATGCAAAAGGCTGCAAAGTAGTATGCATATACTTATATTTTGTTGTTATTGCCATATATATTACGCTGAGAATTCCAAATTGTACCACAAATTGTTTGGAATAAAGTGAATTATTATTATTATTATTATTATCAGTGGACACCAGGATCCAGCTGCTTAAAAGGGCTTAACTTTCTTTCAGTCACTGAGGCCTTTGTCGACTTTTATCTGGATCTGTGAGAAGTAACTATCCGATCAATGTAGTCGCACCGTTAACCTGATAAGTCTGGATGACAAAGCACCTAACTAAGGATCTAAGCAAACAGGCATACAACATATTCCATACAATATTTTATTATGTATTCTTTTGCTTTTATTGAGAATTTGAATATTCTCCCGAAAAAGCCAACGCTTAAACAGGAAAACATTTTAAGGAAATTCAGTTTTGATTTTCCAACCACACTGAAATTATATTAAAATATATTCTTATAGTTGACATTAGAAATAGGATTGTATTTATGTGAATCACAGCAGGTTTTCAAACACGCTGTGATTTACACAAATACAATTCTATATCTAATGTCAATCTTTTACTCAGAGACCAATATTTGCCATACTGTACGATCAAATCTTGAGTACAGATTATATATATTCTTATAGTGTTTAAATCAGACTCGGAGATGACTTTTTTTGTAACAACTATTGCTTGGATAGCTTTAAAGTAAGTTAATTGATAGAATTTGTTCAATGCTTGGGACGAGACAACAATCAGTGTTTCGAATCAACTACTTCAGGAGGTCAATTTGGATCAAAATAGTTCAAAATAGTTAGACTTCAGTAATGGGTAACACGGGTTAGAATGCCATAAAGGATATCAGTTTCTTGCTGGTTGCAGATACAGATGAGTGGCAACTACCGCAAAGACTAGATCAAGCAGGATTTCCTGCCGTCTGTGTCCAACTAACTAACATAAGATAGATCAGTTCAGTCTGGCATGTATTCGGTCAACTATGAAGATGAGTTAGCAATTTCAGATTGCGAAATTAAACGAACGCAAGACGGAAGCTCAGAGACTAGTGTCTATAGGAAACCCTCCCATTCGTATCGCTATTTAAACTTCGAATCCTCCCACCCCATTTCAGTTAAAGTAGGCGTAGTCAAATGCCTAAGTGACAGGGCAAAAAAGCTTATTAGTATACCTGAAAATCTAACACTAAAAGCAAGCTTTGCAGGTTAAAAGACCCTATCGATGCAATTAAGCAAAATAATCTGGCTTACCAAATCCCTTGCAATGGTTGCGAGGTTATATACATAGGTCAGACTAGTCTACCAAGGTCGATTAGGATTACAGAGCACAAAAATTTAACTAAATCAAGATTAGTAGATCCTAATAAGACAAGAAATTCAAAGAAGGTCGGCTATAGCTTGTCACGCAATACACACTATCACACAGTGGGATGGAGTAGAGAGAGCGTTAAAACCTAGTTGAGTGGAGGAAGGGATTGATAACCGAATCTTTGTTCACCGAATCGACACCAAAAACATCCAACAGAAATAGTTCTTCACCTGTCCCAGATATGTGGAAAATTCTACTCCCCTGCCATCACAAATAAGGGGAGAAAATTAGGAATATATAAACTGTATCTCAAATTTGTGGAGTTATCTGATATGAAAATGGACAGCTGTGTCCGAAACGTAACTCAATAAATGATACTGTTTTACTGTGACATTTCTAATAAACAGACGAAAATGAAATGAAAATCTACCGTAGTGCCCAAGTTTTACTCAGTATTGACGGATGTCAGTATTTATTTTGGTAAGACTGATCAATAGTTATATTACTTTTCAATTTCAGTCATTCATGACAAGAAAACCCTCATGTCCGTACATATTTATTACAAGTTATAGTGTCACCTAATATTGTGAAAAGACAATCTTTTCAACCCGGCTGAGCTTCTGTGTTAGCATCGTATAGTATGCTGACTTCGTGAGAACTCATCTTTTATATAAGTTACAATAGTCAGTTACACAGATCAACTTTGTTACCTTGTTTTTTGTTTAATAAATAAACATTCAGGCTGATATCAAAAGTATGACAGCCTATGGAAATTCACTTTTATGTTGCATATTATGTTCTGTGAGGAAATACCTTCCTAACTTGACAAGTAAGATGTATCGAGGAGTTGGGTGGTTACTGAACAATAACTAACTACTAAACTTAATGCCAGACTTTTGAAGACAATGTGGACACTAAACAAGTTTCCGGGGACAAAGTTCACATAAACTAATATACTGGGTTCGTCTAAATAAAACCTCGTCAGAGCTTGCAATTTTCAAGTCCTGCAACAACCAATAAAATTCTTCTTGTGTGAAACCCTGTTAGATGGCATTCTCTGAAGGTAGGACACAGCTGACTTAATATAGTTCTATCATTTGGGAGCTACCAAATACCCAAAACATTCAAGCAGACTATTCAGTAGATCAGAAAAAAATGATTTTCTTATCAGGAGAAAGTCTTCAAAGAGATTGAGGTTACTTTGGGCTACATAACATATATAGTACCAGAAAAGATCCTCATTTAAATCTGCTTATGCATTATATCCACAGGAAATGTGGAAAAATTCCTTAATGCACTCTCCAAAGTGTATTTCATAAGTAGTAGATTATGCAAATGATAACTTTGCACCACCCTAATTCCTGCATTCATTTTTTATCACTCATCAGAAAATACGCTGACGAATGTGACCAGAGAGGTTTAAAGTAGTTTAATGTAACATTTCAGTGAGAAATGTGACCACCTACTGGGAGGCATTAGTCAATAAAGCAACGCAGATGAAGTGGCGTTAACTACTTGACAGCCAAACTTCAGAAAGGCACATGAGTTCTCAATATGAAGCTCCACTTCTCTTTTGAGCTGGGTTTTAGCTAGTACCAGAAAGCCTGATTTGGCAGTCTATGTGTTGCAATGTATGGACACTTGGATATAGTGAAATCACATGTGAATCAGGCAAAACTCAGAGTAACTGAAATAAGATAAAGACTCGGTCAATATCTGGCTCTCATGCTTGCCTCTTGGAGCACAGGGTCCTTAACCCAGAGGAAAAGAAGGAAGCAGGTAACACTGAGCACCGAAACCCACTTTTAAATACCAGTATGCATGAAACGTGTCCCTCCTAAACCCTATATGTAACGTTGTGCAACTGGCCACACTCTAAAATGAAACTTAAATCTGTTCAGCAACTCGGATAATTTCAAAGAAAGGGGAGTTGTTCTAATTCTCCCTTCTTCAGTTTCCATTCAAAATCAATCGCTAAGCTGTGCATGTGAATCGTTTTGCTTATTAAGACTATGTAACTGTATTTTGCGCCACAAGAAAACTCTCTGCCACAACTTATCAGTTCTGGAATGAATTTCTGACTACATATTCGATGAAAACATCCGGCTAAATAAGCTTTTGTTCACATAACAGCAAACTAGGTAATCACAAGATATATAATTCGCCGCAAGACTAATTTAGCAACGTCAGATTCATTCGTAGGACTCAAAGATATTTTTGTTGGAAATCGAGCTGTTCACACCATCAAGAGCAACCTACTTGACATAACATAAAGCAGCCACATCACTATTATAAATGTCATACAATATATCGTAGCAACTGATTCCAGTCACCGCTGAGCACATACAATATTCGGAACTTTTTTATTTATCACCACTCCTTCAAAGCAGCTAGACAAATTTCCGATAGTCTCGACGACTCTGCATATAAAACATCTGGTTATAAGCAATTACTACTGCTGATTGGTGCAAATGTTCAATAAATACTCAAATGAGTCAATATTATATATTATGCTCTCGGTAGTACAATTAGTCATAAATATAAGCAGAATTCAGAAGTGGATGACTTAACTTCACAGTTCTTTTATCAGAACTGCTTTGAAGCCTCAACATACGACACACTTTCGAACCGTGAGATTCTTCACTTCGTTTCCCACAAGCATGTTATACAAAAAGTCTGTTTTAGCAAACTAAATGCTTTCAAAGAAATCCAACAGATAATGAAGTAAAAGTTCACTTGACCACTGACCTGGGAGGCGCACAAAGACTTGTCATTTACTATCGTTTGACTATCTGAGATAGCTGTAGTTTTTCAGACTGGTATTGATACTTGGTGATGACTGAAAGTGAAATGAAAATTTGGACCACAGCCGCATTCAAACAAGCGACCACTGGGTCTGAATCCGGCTGCGGTCTAAATTTTTTTTCACCTTCAGTCATCACCCAGTATCAATACTAGCCTGCGAAACTACGGCTCTCTCAGTCAACTGATGGTCAATATGGTGCTCCCCCTCTCTAATTTAGTTGGATGGGGATCAGAATGAGATGTCCTGATTAGGCAGTCAGTGTGAATACGATCAGGTGGTAGTAACGCGTCATGAATTCACATGGCAGTCGGGCAAAACCCTTTGTGATTGAAGTGGGATAAACATCTGATCAGCAGTCGAACCTTGTAGCTCAGTTGGTAGAGAATCAGGTCGGTGGTTACTGATTTGAATCCGGCAGCGATCCAAATTTTCATTTCACCTTAAATTATCATTTATTATTCTGAGAACAAATATGATAAAAGCTTCGCTTTACTGATGCTTTTCATTTAATTATTGTTTTTCGTATTATGTCCTGATAGACATCTAACTACTGATATGATGTCTCTCTATTGTGCTACTGTTTAACAACCGTGGCGTCACATGAATGATTCGGAATCGCAGACTGATTATAGTGATAATTATAAAGATGTGACATGATTATGAATAATAATTTATGCTCGAAAAGTCATCAAGTAAATAATACTGTATCACTATGATTTATAAATGAAATTAAAATAATCGAATATGTATCACTAAATACCGAAATCAGAAACTGTAGTCATCAATGAAGACTCAGGCCTTGACGAACAAATAGACTGACGTCCTGTTGCTAATTCCCAAACTAAATACAATCCTACATAAAACCAGGTGATAAATGAAAGATTGCGTAAAATTCTTCTAATCTGACAATAAGTGATGCATATAGAAATCACCGTGTTGGGATAATTTTCTATGTTAGTATATGCATCTCGTTGATGAGTGCCAGGAAATATGTAACCTAGATCCAAGGCTTTTAGATTATTGGCAAAACTTGACCAGTCAGGCATCCGTTAAAGCTGAGAACTTGGGACTTGTTGGGAACTTGTTACATTGCCGTCTGGTCTGAAAGACGAAGTGAATGGGAAAGCGTTAGTAAGTTTGGTGATGGGGATTCATCCAACCGTTACAAAAATCGAACGTTTGGAATAAGTAATTCAGGATTGTTAATATGGTGTATTGTTGTACATTTAGAAGTCCGTTACTGCCTATCACATTTTATTTCCTGATTATTCTGTTGTTAATTTACAAAACGGTAGGTATGAAACATTTAAAAAATGTACCACACTACGTGATACATGAAGAAGATACTTTTCAAAGATTAAAAGAAATTTGAGATGGACCAATCCAATGTAATATATTTGTTGGAGCCCAAGATTCAATCAGGCCACCGCTTCTATAGTTCAGAACAACGTGATTCTGTTAGTTTAAGAAATACCACGTTTAATTTCGGAGAATAACCTGACCAACTATAAAAGCGTAAAATGCCGTGAATGCACCCATAATATAGGGAAACTGATGAATACTTCCAGCTGCACTGCTTACACTATGGATCGCTTAACAATAAACTCTCATTGATGAACTTGATGACACAAGTTAAGTGACGATTTGAATGAAATGATATACAACCCAGTCAGTCGTTAAACTTGCTACCACTGTATTCAGATTTTCTTGTATTAACAGCGTCTTGAAATTTTATCATACACAGCTGCATGAGGAAGTTCGCACAAATTTATGCAAATGCAGCATCAGTATCATATATACACAAAGACAGAGAGAGAGAGTTTATTTAGGTGTCAGGTGAGTGCATTTATCATCGTTAAAATTCATATTCAAAGTATGGTTGTTTACACCATGACATTTATTTCAAGTTTCTACCTTCGTCTGTTTATTAAGCTTCACAGGATGTATCAAAAAGGCATTTAACTTATAGTTTCTTACCCTTTCAGCCTTCTGTTTCCTCTGACTTCTACTTCTTAGTGTTTAAAGAGCTTTGTTTATGCTAACACAATGAATTTTGTGGCCAACAACTTTATTCTCTGTTGTATTCACTTATTTCAGTCAATCTTTTTACTGAGGGTTAACCATGAAATATCATCACGGTACACTTTTATGTAATTCGGTGTAAGAGAAAACTAATATTCCTGAAAGCTAATGTTCCATGCATATGCTACCCCTGAAAGCTTTCTTCAGTTTCGACAGTTCAGTAGTTAGATATATATGATCTCGTAGCTAATCAGTTTCGCAAACACTTGAAGACGCTCGAAAACGAAATTTTCTTCAAACTGGAGACGACGTCTAGAAGAAAACGAATAGTTTTTGTGTTCAATGGTCCTTGAACATTTTAAGTTCCATTTAAACACATAAATTACATTTAAATGAATGGCGTATACTTGTTTGTGGAGGTAATAACAAATGCATAACCCTAAGCAGTTTTTTAGACAGAATTTTAGTCGAACAATGGATACAGCTCAATTTCATCAAGGTTATACATGTTTGTTGTTAATTGCTTCATAGTTCCTAAAACAGTATTTCTGTATGCCTTAATGTGAACAGCTGACATTTATAACCGGTTCATACTGCCAAATAATCTTCAGATAACAACACTTTTAAGTATCTTTCTAAATCATTTTCCCTATTTAGAACTGTAAAGTTGGTTGGTAACGCAAGTAATAGATAGTCATTTGAATTTGATCTGCGCCATTTAATGCTTTTATATGCAATTCTTGTTTAAAAGGTAAAAAAAGTTCAACATTTTACCATGAAATAAGTAAACTAGATGATTGACAGTAATTAGTTAAAATTTTATGCTAATAAATACCTACTACATCACTTCTGCTGATGGCATCACCTGATCGATATTTTGTTTTCCTCCGTTTGTAGGGTTGATTAAATGTTGGCATATAAGTTGTTAATGGATTTGGCCATTTTGAACTGAAAATAAAAAAGTTAAAATTAAGAGGTAATGACTTTATTTATCCAGTGTTTTTTGATGCTACCATATACTACTGGTAGGACCCGCCCTTAGTAGTAAGAGTTATGACCTATTCACATTATGATCCAGAGCGTGTAAGTTGAGATCGGCAAATATAGTTTAAAATCACTTGCATTTTAAGTGCAGTTCTGGAATCAAATGAACCTTGTGTGATTCCTTTTTTGAGTTCTGGTGCATTTCACTTTCTTTTGCATTTCAGCATTTCATGTCTCCTTATTTATTTCACTTGTAGGACATTGTGAAAGTGCACAAAGCTATCAGTTCACATTATCCTTTTACATTATTCTCAAACCTGCAGTATTTCGAAATTCAAGGTGTTCAAGTTTCAATGTTTTTTAAATCTACTGGTCATTGAATAATTAGACAGGAAAATCGAGCGAAGTGAAGGTCATCGAAAGGTCAACTTATTTAATTTTGCATCTAATTTTAAATCACTTTTCAGAATAAAATACAGGATATCTCCCTAATCATTGCTGACAATCCAACACTAACTAAGGTTATACTTAAAGAAAATTGACGCAAGTAAAGTAATTTCTCAATAGTTACTTTATTAATAAAAGAATATGTTTGGGAAGTAAAGAGAGCAATATGTTCTCAGAATGACAACAATACCTAATTGTTATATCGTTACCTACGGTCTGCCAAATGTTAGCAGTCTATAAATAATAACAAATGCAGCACTTCCTTTGTCAAATTTAACTCAAGTTGGATCGAAATGAGAAGACTTCACTAGATAGCCGGTCTAAATGGACGAACAGTAAAGTATCGTGGATTCATATTGTAGTCAGGCAAAACCTTTGTTGTTTAAAATGATGTTAAGACACGATAACCAGGCGAGTCTCGTGTCTCATATGGTAGAGCGCAGGAAATCTTATCACTCTTCGGATTTTGATTATAACTTCAATCACCATTCCTTTTTACCTAATTTCGTTATAAATGTAATAGTGGACAACCTTAGGTGTCTCTAGCTTCTCAAGGATGTTTGATCAACTTGGAGTGTGTAGACGATATTGTCCTGCCAGGTGAAGTCTCCTACAAGACGCAGGGTCTTCTGAAGGTGCTGAGAAGTCTAATTATGTTTGACCTTCGTTTCGCACCTGTCAACTATAAGATTATGCTTACGGACTCGTCTGCAGCTACTTTCAGTCAGAGGATTAGGAGTGGAGTGTGGAAAATGTAGACCACTTCACTTGCTTCGGGAGTTACATCAGCCCAAACAGGCTGGTTGCTGACGAAATATCAGCTCGGATACGAGAGACGACTTTGGTATTTGCCAACTTGTATCATCTGCGGCGTCAGCTGGCGAGATATCCGACCATCTATCAAAGGATGAGCATACTGTGCTGCAGTCCATTCTCTCCTGTTGTATGGCTATGAGAAATGCCCGGTAATAGTAGGAGGCATGAAGCGATTGCAGAGTTTCGATCACAGAGTTCTTTGTACCTTTGGTTGCGTTTGGTGGAAACACTGTGTGAGCAGTGTTGAAGTCAGGTGAGGTATACTAGGCAAGAAAGACAATCTGGTTGATAAAGTCCTGAACCTTAGTCAACTGAGATGGCTTGAACTTATGTTGCGTCTGCCCAGCCACCATCTAGCTCGATGTGGCGTGCTAGGGGAAGTTGGATAGGAATGGAAGAGGGTTCAGGGTGACCAGACTAAAACAATAAAATTGCTGACTGTTAGTCTGAGGTCAAGACTACTTGGATGGTGTTCACCAGACGACAGGATTCAATGGTTCAGGACTATTGGTAAAATGACTAAAGATCTGTTGAAATCAGGCAAATGTATCCACTCTTTGATGTCTTATAAAGCCTCTATCTGTTGACTAACCTTACATTTTAAATTCTCCTTCTTCCGCTTCACCTTTGTCTATTTTGATATCAGTCATCTGCAATCGATTTATTCCTTATATGTTACTGAGAGCTGATAAGTCCCGGTATCAAGAAAAACAGTTTATCGAACCATAGCTATCTCAGACAGTCGCATTTACAATTTCATTTCATTGTTCAATTAACTCAGTGTTTTAACATGGATATATTGATTATTTTGAGAGCATGATGTGATTGAAATATCCAACTGACAGTTGAAATATTGTTTCGTCATATGGGTAGATAAACACCAATTCACAATTCATTTATATACTACTAGCATTTATGACTTAAAATTAAGAGATACATGAAATTCAATTCAAAAATAATATGGAAAGGAAATCAAGGCACGTCGACAGTAACAAAGAACATATTTCAAATTGCTTAGTAGTTATCAATCACAAATACCTGACAGTGTCTGTCGACAGATTGCAGTAAGTAGTAACTTTCGAAAAATCTTTGTTAATAACTATAAATAAGTAGAAGTTTTAACATCAACTCAACTTTTCTTGAAACGATGACTAAATGCACTCGCTATAACATAAATTCTTATTAATGTACAGTCATTCTGAGCTTATCGAATCCTACGCTTATTACTGCCACTCTTTAGCCGATTGCAATAACTGCTCATAAGGAAAATTAATCAATGAGCTCAATGAGGTGTAGCAGTTCAACCGAGTAGTGTAAAAAGACAAGTGAATCAAGGCATGCTGCCAATTAAAAAATGAAATGTCTTTTAGTATATAATAAGATGGCCAAAAACTTCATAAAAACCCTGAAATTCAAGAAGCCATTCTTAACTAATTGGCTCGCACCAAATTTTCAAGCGAAATCACATGAATCCAAGTCTAAATTTTAGATTGGTTGAACAGGCGAAAATCAATAGGATACAGTATTCTAAAAAAACGTAGAAATACTCAAGACCACTGTAAATATATATAAGCATTTGCATTGAATAAATTTTTTGACGCTACCATAACCCATTTGTTGTCTAAAGGCCTTTCCCACTTTTCGATGAACTAAGTGACCGAACGGTGGAATCTCAGGGTTAGTGTTCAAGTGTCCATATATATATATATATATATATATATATATATATATATATATATATATATATATATATATATATATATATATATATATATATATATATAATTCAGGCTACACCAAGTCACTATAAGAATATAACAAGTGGCGACAAGGAAATAACACAGTGGACTTCAAACAAATCACCTTTAAATATGTCTTCATTAAAAAAATCCTGCCTAAACTACTGAACTACCTTGGCGTATTCCAAGAAGGTCCAAGTTCTAACCAAACTTCTTTTGTTTTAGCTGAGAACAATTTGAATAATGATGTAATCGTGGGTTCACTCAATAGCGGTTCAACGACATCCACAACAATATTGACATTGTAATCTGGAATTTGCTTTTTCTTCGCAACATGATGAACTTTACGAACAACTTTTATTAAATAGACAAAAATTTCTTTAGATAAGTACGGAAGAGTTTTTCTAACTTTTTCAGTAATATTCAATGCAAACTTAGTTTTCTGCAACGCGTCAGTTGTTAGTGCAGAATTTGGAGGTTGGTTATCGTTGTTTTTTCCATCACCACCTATAAATGCATGACAGAAACATATGAGCAGATAGCAGATTGCATACAGTTATATAAAGGTAAATCATGAAAACTGATAGCTTTTTTTGAGACCTGTATTTAAAACCACGAAGCACCGGGAATGTATACCGAGTCACTTCATTTTTGAAAGTTTGGCAATCAGTTAAACTCAGAGGAAAAAATCGACAATATGCATCATAAGTAACACGACTGATGCATGAGTTACAATTAGATGTTTTACCCTATCCTACTTAACAGTTAAATAATAATAAGTAATATCATTTCCTTGGTGGTGGTTAGCAGTGGAATCCACAAGGGAAATTTCATCCACTTTAGGATTCGTCAGCTAAAATTAACTGCTTCCCAGTGAGTGGTCCAGTTCCCACTTGGAACCGAACCCAGCACTAAACACGTCACATGTAAGAGCGTTAACAACAAGGCTACTGAGACACAGGAGACACCTTTTTGGAGTGGGTATCTTTTTTATTCCTGTTGGCTATGAAAACTCAAGCACCACTAAAAGCAACAAGTATCATATAAAGACTAGCACGCATCCTGTTTATTGTAAGAAATATCCATAATCTAATATCAATAGTAAATCTACGTTACCTGATGTCAGATGTTTGATTATTGGTAAGTATACAGCTACGTACATTCTAGTGTGTCCAATCGACACAGAATTCATAGGCAAGATGATACTTGTTTAAGGATCATACGATGTTGCCAAAGAATACGTCTTACAATTTGGCTGATTTTTCACAATAATGAATTTCTTAAAAAAACCATCTTTAGTAGGCTTAAAGTCTTGATTACTGCTTCGATGAACACTACAACACACCATATGATCAGCTGATTGAATTTAAACTGTTTCTACAGACTCTGGACGTGAGATAAATCACTAGACGGTGAGAGGTATTAACTAAAGTCGAACTATTAGACTGCACCAAAATGTTTCTGAAACGCAGTTTTAGTCAGTATTATAGACGTATAATTCTCAGCACCGGGATTCAGAAAGTGAGTAACCTAACAGATAACGCTCTGGTGTTTGAAGCGAGGTTATCACCCTCCTAGAAGCAGGCCTACTCAACAGATCAGTCTCAAAGAGGACGAAAAGTGCGTCCTAAATCCCAGTGCTAGTCGCCGTTCATCACTAATATCAAAATGAAATCACTGATTATATCAAACATTATTAGATCTTAAATCTTGATAATACAATAATACACTGAATAAACTGCAAGATACAGGCCACTTCTGGAGCAAGTATAATCTTGTCTGTGTAGCGTAGGGGATTTCAAGACAATAATGGAAGAGAGAAATTATTGTCTCGAAAAAGAAGTTGCAGATATAAACAAAAGAAGTCATTGCTTAGTAACTGTCTTAAGCGGATTTCGTCACCTAACATTCACATCATTTCCGTAACGAGAAAGTAAACTTACTAAATTGGACCATATCTATGCCTATTATTACTTCGCCAACAGTTTTATGCATCGCCAATTCATATGTAGCGATGAACTATTTTCTGCTGTCATGAGAAACAAGCTGGTCACTAAAATACTCCACCTTATTTAGTAAATGTTTTTATTCTGCGATATTCTGCTTCCTTAAAAGACATTAATGAAACCAAATATAAGAAATTATTGCTAATAGTTTAAACTTTTACCCCGAGACGTGTACACGAAAGTATCATACCAGGTTGGAACCAGTTAGACAAGATAAATACAATCAGACTTATCAATGAAGTGTTAAGGCTCCGCGTCCATGAGCTTTCATGTGTATGATGAAAATAAGGTTATGAGCTATGTGATCAAAATTTCCATTGTGTATACCTATAGAATTAAAGACTTCTGATTTACTGTAGTCATCTCTAGTGTTGTTTGTGTATATTTACCCCGAAGAAAGGCTCCGTTGTCATCTAGGTAAGAATCTCACGACTAGAATCTATCAAACCATCATTTATCCTCATTTCATAGTTTCAAAATCTCCTCGCCTTCTTGCGGAAACTTCCCAGTGATACATGGAAGACCTCAAACAAAAGCATAATAGTTGCTTAATATCCTTTTTCTCGAAAAAAAACCTATCAGCCTAGCGAAATTACATGAGTTTTTTAGTGAAAAGCAGTTGATCGTGGTGGTTAACTGGTGAAGAAACTCAATTGATTCAGTTTTTACTGAGACAGCCACTTCTCAATTTGACTACCTGAGATAGTCGTAGTTTGGCAGACCTGCATTGTTGATACTGTCTGGGCAGCAGGTGTTAGTACAATGAACGGACAATCATTCACCACGAGTTCAAACAACAGTTGAGCAAAACTATTGATGACTGGACTGAAATAAAGATCTAGTCAGCAGCTATGTTTCGTAGCTCTCTTGGTTAGCTACCAGACCGGTAACTTGAAGCTACCGGTGCGAATCCTGCCGCAACCCAGATTATCATTTCACCTTTAATCATCACTTAGTATAAATTTTTCTAGGAAAAATTAACAAAACCGATTCACTACGGTAAGTTTCTAATTTCTCGATACGTTTGAAAGACTTGTAAATTGTGTTAGCCTAAAATAAATCCCTTCAACAGACTTTGCTGGTATTCAACCATAAATCTTTGTTCAACTTATTTTTGTCATCTCCTAAACCGTGGTTAGCTAAAGCTAATCAATTGGAGATCATTTATACCATTTTACTTTGCAATACTTACCGCTTTTATCGGCTAGTTCATTTGTTGACATGTTTAAGCTTCTTCGCAACTTCCTTTCAAAGAATTCAATATCATCCAAACATCGATTTAACATATACAAATCTTGTCCATAAGCATAATCCTAGAAAATGAAAACGGATATATAATTTTCATTGATTACATAGTTGGACAAAGCCCTACGAATGTATAATTCATCTAAAATGTATTTGACGTGTTCCCACCTTACATTTCGAATTTGATCACACAATTACCTCTCACGCAAATTTATACTAACCACAAGAAATTTCAAGCTGGGGCTAACCGAGGAACGACGTCAGTTGCAGAGCCATGGGAACCCTAGGAGTACTAGACAGCTGGTTTGACCTATTATGGAATAGTCAGTAATGTCTAATCGTGACCTTCCAGTGGACCGAACCTGGGGACTTCAGCTTTTGCGGCCAGACCTTCACTACTCAATCACTGGGTCGAAAATCAGCAGCCTAGATTTTCTCACTTCTGCCAGTTGGGAACATAAAATGACATCACTTAATACCACCGTCGAGATACTTTCTTCGAGACGAGATTCTTGAAGTTCTAATAATAAGTTGTGGCCGGTGGAGCAAACCGAACTGGACATGGGGACAATTACGCAACAGCAGCATGGAATGGATGTAACACTATCAGTGACACGTTTACCTAGAGACGAAGTTGGGCATCTTTTGTATAGCTAAACGGGATCATTCGATATGATTTGTTGTTCCAGATATTTCAAAACATGCTGTATGACTCTCACCAGCATGGATCGATGGGTCCTCTTCATGTTTGTGTTACCACATATGCATGTAAAGTGGTAAACGCACGTGGATGTAAGTTCAGCCTTCGATTTCTGCAATGGTGTACAAGATTTCATAAACTACATTTTCTCCATGATTTTTACCTTCGCTGAAAAATATTTTATGCATGACCATCTTAAGTATTTGTTCAGCTGTCAAGCTTCATTAATTAACCGGTAAACAGTAGTGCGATAAATATAGGTTTCTTTGAGACAGAATGAGCGACGGTTTCTTTTTGTTCAACATTTCTATCATGAATGGCAAATTTCACGTGACAGTTGTTTCCGAATAATACCCCAATGAGACCCTGTGTTACCCTCTTTAAGGGCTGTCTATATATACTGTAGTTAACAATGGTACTTACCTGTTCATGTAGATTTGCCACTGCATTAAAACTCATCTGGTAGATTTTTTTCTTTTTTATGCACTATTAGGCGTCTAGTCAGACAATTCAGCCCCTTTATTTTACTGATTATTTATCCAGCCTATTTATCATCTGTGATATATCGTCTAAATATGTATTATAAGTAAGCATACGACCGGACTGTTCAACATTTATTGAGCTAGTTAATCACATACGTTTTAGATAAGCTATTTTGACTTAATTACCTACTATGATCAGAATAAATGAAGGTGGTGCTCTTATCACGCTCAATTTTGTAAGGTGTGGGTTTCTTCATCCTCTTCTTGATGAAGAAACGTTCAGTCAATGAAGAAGAATCCATTCTACAAAAAATGAGCAATAATTAAAAATCGTTGTTATCATGATGGATCCATAGTTTGAAAATATGTGAAGTTCGGAGTGAAGGGATTAAGCAAACGATATGGTTCATTTGAAACCCAAGGCACGTCAAAAATATCCTTTAACAAGTAATCCAGTAGTACAGTACTATTTAGCTTCCTGGAGGTAATCCACAGGAAGCGCCACCTAGACTAGGTTTCGTGCTTGTTGACAGTCGTCAGGAAGGTGTATCCTGAAACTTGGAGGGACTGATGTCCGCTGTGAGATTCGAATCCCCATTGCCCAGTGTTGCAAACAGCTGTTACCGTTGAGCTATTTGGGCCACGACTGACCTTCTGTAGGACTGCATTAGTTACTCTGATTTGTCACTGGAGAGCAACCAATCTCATGTCACCTAGTTCTGAGTGCTGACCGAATTCTACCAATCCTTTTTTCGATGTGGTCTTCAAGCTAGGAGGCTCAGCAATCACAAACCTTAGTTTCAGAGCTTCCTGCCGACTGCGTTTGACCAACTTATATCAAAACAGCACCCCGATGATGAACCTCCTGGTTTGATGACCATATTGTAGAATGGTCAAAAGAATTTGGTCAGCACTCAGAACTAGGTGACATGAGATTGGTTGCTCTCCAGTGACAAATCAGAGTAACTAATGCAGTCCTACAGAAGGTCAGTCGTGGCCCAAATAGCTCAACGGTAACAGCTGTTTGCAACACTGGGCAATGGGGATTCGAATCTCACAGCGGACATCAGTCCCTCCAAGTTTCAGGATACACCTTCCTGACGACTGTCAACAAGCACGAAACCTAGTCTAGGTGGCGCTTCCTGTGGATTACCTCCAGGAAGCTAAATAGTACTGTACTACTGGATTACTTGTTAAAGGATATTTTTGACGTACCTTGGGTTTCAAATGAAATACAAAATGAAATTTGTTGCTCTCCAGTGACTAATCAGATCACCATTTAGTTATGAAATAGGCTGATTTACTGATTCTGTATTTATTACGTTTAATTTGAAGGGGAAGTTAATCCTTTGATATCAAATATAACTTGTGTAAAACATATTCTGTTCTTCGACAGTCTAGAAAAAAATGAGCATAAATCCAGGGAAAACAGACAACTAACTGACCTTAAGGTTCTTCATTCAAGAAACACTGAGTAATTGCGGCCTATTTTCAGTTCATAATCACTTTTCTTTTTTGTATGCATTTAAATAACTTTTGAGGAATTTAGCTAACCACAAAAAACTGCAACCAGATATCAAAACAAGCCATATGATCCAGACTTAACTATTTTCTGATTAAAATAATATGACTTATTTTACTTAATTGGAACATTTTAATCAGTGAGTTTTATTTAAAATATTCAGCTACATTAAATCTTCGCAGATGAAACAATACTTGTATGGGTTGAACGAGAGTAAAAGAAGAGTTTACTCTAATAACTTGGTAGAATCAGGCTAAGATATCAGTTGAAAGCATCTTGAAAATGGAAATTTTACTTTGTTACTTCGATTTATGATACAAGAGGGCTTTTATTTTACGTATAGCTGGTACTGCAGAGCATTCACAGATAATAATCTGTATTAAAAATCAATTTCAAGTCCACTGGAGATCCATAGCCAGCTCATACCTATTAAGTTTTCAGCCATTACTGCTACAGCCTGAATGTTTTTTTGCCGAGAAATAGCTATTCTTGGAAACTGTTTTGTTGTGTGCTATGACACTAACTCAGGTGACAAAGTAGTAGTGCTATACTCATGATTGGTGAAGATAAAAAAAAAACACTACTGAATGAGATCAGGTTTATGGTTCAAGGTGTATTCAACTTCATATTAAGACAGCATTATTTCTGCAGACGTTTATGTAAATAACATTTAAATCGGTATAAGTTGTACACAAATTCTCTAAAAATCACCAGTTCAAAGGAAAACGGAGTAAAGGTTTTCGGTCCAACGGTCTCAGTGGAAAAAATATCACTCATGCGAAGGTAATTACTTCTGAATGGCGAATCATGAATGGGACGAGCGCTAGCCACTAACTATGATTAGTATTTAACTGTGATAATATTCGAAGTAGGCAAGGTTATAAGTTACAGTAATTAAGTGTGTAACCAGACGGTGCAAGTTTCTTTTGAGGGGAAGTGACATTAAAATATCACTAGTCAGACTTATTACAAATAAACAGATATTTTTTAAAAGTGCAAGAACAAACATGCGAATAAAATGAAATATATCCATTCCATTGTTTTGGTCGTTTTTGTAAGCTTCTTACAGTATATAGTGTTCACAATGAAAAATTGCGGCAAAATACTGACACACTTTAGTCTATTGAAAACAGTCGAAGCAGAACAGTGACGAAGTGTAGTAAGGAAACTACAAAATCCATAACAACCTGTCCCGCAAGTCGGTGACTAGAAACACTAGCAATGATCAGAAAATGAAGTGTAATGAAGCATACTGAGCAGAATTCAGTAGACTAAAATTGGGGATAAGTGTGAATAGAAAGTCTAGTTACACGATAATAGTATGAGATTATGAAGTAAGGCTACCGAGAGGGCTGAAAATTAGCAATAGATTTTTTCTAGCTTTTGTTGTTGAATTCAAGTCCCATCGGAAACACAGTTACTTGCTAGAAGTTTCGAATGGGATGAAACAAATGTTCAGGATTCAACTGCTAGTCACTGTTCATCCTTGAAAACTATGGGTTTTCTAGTTTGGAGAATTTTGGGAGTTAATGGATTTCAAGATGGTACTTCTTATGGACTGACATGTATTGTTCCTCTAAAATAAGATTAAATTTGCATAGAGAAGAGATTTAAGCACATAATAGTACACTTATATTTGCTACTTTTATGTCATTTAACATAAATAAAATTTTGTAAGTGAATGTTCTCAAGGTCATGCAAAATGTTTCATTTCTGATGAAAATGCATCTATTACACATTTAACTGTATCGTAGAACCTATGGTGTATATTAAATTAGTGGAGGACTTTGAGATATGTGATGCATCAGTTTGAATGCACACATAAGATCATCCACTACAAGTGCTCTTTATCTGGTTGTTTTCACAAAAACACTTAATATAGTCATAAAAAGTATATGCTAAGATATATTAAAATCAAGAATACAAAAATACTCAACACGTTTGCATTTCTAGGTACCACTACAATTTAAATTTAGAACAGAACTCAGTCTAGTCTTAAGTTTATTTCAATATTTCAAATCAGAGCGCTTCTGAATTCCAGTTAAATAAAGTTAAACCTCTCTATTTTTCACGATAAAGATCATTTGAAGATCTATTCTTATATGCACATTTGTTAGAACGATGATATACGTTCGATAACACGAGAAAGAACAAGAGATTTAGCAGAATATATTGAGTTCATGGTATTTCTTCGCCTACTTTCCAGCCTCCTGGAGGCTAGAGAAATTGTTAGATATATACCGCAAAACACAACTGATGATTAAAAACCAGTCCATTGAATAACATCTCCAGTTTAATATTTTCCATTCCATGAGTTGTAGGCAAGGACTAGTTAAAACGCTATTTTATAAGGCTAAAAGACTT